TGCAATTATCGGTAAAGAGGGACAGCTGGAAAGAACAACAGATAATGGATATCTGTTTTTACCAAAAGTTGATACGTCTGTACTTTTCTCACCGAAAGTTGTTTGTCTTCTTGTGGAGCTGGAAAGTTAATGGCAGGCAAAGGCTTAAATCATGATGCTTTACTTTTTCCTTTGCTTTTGTTATGGAGTAGTTTGTCGGCAATCATTTCTGTCACCGAGTCCCAAATATTCTCCATAATTGGGTCCAGTTGGGGTCGCTTTCCGGATCCTGTGATTCTCCTGCTAAGACAGTAAAAGTATTATCCTCATTCATATGGGTCTGCTGTAGCGCGGTCTTCTTCACTTTGAGTACTGGATGTAGATTTCATACTGGAGTCTGTACTGAACATGGATTGAAGGAATTGTTGCTTCATATAATCCATGCTTTTGATAACAAGCTCGGTTTCTGATAAGTCTGGATATTTTTCCCTAAGCTCTTGCTGGATTTGAACAAAAGGATTTACTGGAGGAGCTGGGATGGATTTAGGAGACGCATCCCAGCAGGCTTGTGTATGTTCCTTGATTTTCTGTAGTAATTCCTGCTTGGGTTTTGGATCATCCATTTTACCCACCATTTTATACAGGAAAACACGTTGTAGTCTGGGGACCTTATTCTGGAAATCACATTTAAAATCCCATTTCCAAATCCATGGAATACTGAAACGAATTACAAAGTGAACCATGCATTTAGTCATGGAAAGGTCTTTATTTACTGGAAGGTGACTGAAAGCTACTTGCCATTCATTGAAGGCAGTTTTAATATGTTCTGGAAAGGCATCAAGTTGAATACCAAATTTATCCCACCAAATGAGAAACCAATTGGGGAGATCATTTTTTGAGAACGTCAGGAAGAACACAAAAAACCAAGAAATGGCTTGCTGTGGGGGATTCATATAATAAAATGCTTGGGAAAAAGCATCAATATAATCCCAATAGCTGTATCTGGGATTCCTTGGAACGGATGTCAAGAGTTCTGGTAACATGGGGATGCATACCCCAGGCCTGAATAGGCACAATATTCTGGATAGTAGCCTTACTGTAATTAATAGGACTAGCAGTCCTATTAGGGTCGGCTAAATGATGCTGGAATTGTACCGAAGGCAAGTTCAGTAAGAATTTGCTCGTACACATATCTGTATTGATCAAAACGTGGAGGTGCGTTCTGAGTGGCGAGATAACGGCGTTTTATCTCCCACGGATCGACCATCCATTGAACATCAGAAGAATCAATATAAAGGACAGTCTCCTCTCTGATGGTATTCTGGATATAAGCAGTTTCTGGAGTAAGAAGGACATCTTTAGCAGACTTGCTAGAAGATTCCCCTGGATTACTGGAATGGCCAATAATGGCGGAAATTCTGTAGTATAGGGGTTAGAACCCCGTCCACGGCCCCGTCGGGCGAGCCTCGGCTTCTTACCCTGCATGTGATTTCTGCAAATATTCACGGGGTTAGAAAATCTGGAAGGGAATTAGTTTCACCTTTAATATATTCAATATCAAAATCAAAAGAGAAAGAGTTGCTTGCCAAATAGCAAAAATTTGTTTCTGGGCTAAATTTTCAACATCTTTTTGAAAGATTTGTTTAGCAGCAGAACAATCAACACGAATTAAAAAATGTTGATTTAATAAATCATCCTGGAATTTTAAAACACATTTAACGATGGCTAAACATTCTTTTTTGATTGTGGGATATCGTTTAGCGGCATCATGCCAAATGCCTGAATGAAATCGTAAAAGTTCTTCTTTATTTGTATTGGATTAAATTGTTTTAATATGCCACCAAAACCTAAATCTGAGGCATCAGTTTCAACAATCTTTTTCCATTCTGGATGAGGTAAACATAAACAAGGTAGAGTTTGCACTCTAGCTTTAATTTTCTTAACAGCAGCAGTATGTTCTGGACTCCATACAGGAGGGTTTTTACGAAGGCGATTGTATAAAACAGCTGCATCTGTAGCAAGATTAGGGTAATAATCATGTATATAATTTAAACTTCCCAAAAATCGCATGTTAACTGTGTCTTGTCTTTTATTTCATCTGGAAATTTAGAAAGCAAATTCCATACTACGATTAATAGGAATAATTGTTCCATTATGAATATTATGTCCTAAAAATCTAACAGTGTCTGAAAGAGAGTTGCATTTTAGGGGCAGAAACAACAAGACCATTTCTGGAAATAACATGCTTAAAAATGTTAAGATGTTTCATATGTTGATCAATAGAAGATGAAAAATAAGAACATCGTCTATATAGCATATGGCAAATTCTGTATAAGGATTAAAAATGTCATTCATAATATGCTGGAATTCAGATGGTGCATTTTTCAAACCAAATGGCATGACATTCCATTCATAATGCCCAAAGGGTACTGTAAAAGCAGTTTTATATCGATCATTTTCTTACAATTTGAACTTGCCAATATCCTGACTTCATATCAAATTTAGAAAATATGACTGCATCTTGTAATCTGTCCAACAAATCTTTTTTGTTTGGTACCGGATACCTAATCCACTGTAAAACTTCATTCAAAGGTTTGTAATAATTACTAACCTAGGAACTTCACGTTCAATTTCTGCATTTTTGTTGACATAGAAAGCAGTACAACTCCAAGGAGATCTACTGGATCTTATTAATTTTTTCTGGAGAAGAGTATTAATTTCATTTTTGCAGAGTTCCATATACTCTTTCTTCATTTGACTAGGACGAGCCTTTGTTGGAATTTTCTTTTCATTAAAAGTAGGCTCATAAGGCAATGAAACCATATGTTTCTTGCGGTCCCAAAAGCATTCGGAACATCACTGCAAATTTCTTCCTAGAATTCTTTTTCAAGTAATTTGATTTTTTGCTGAAAAGAGGATTGCTGTAATCTTTGTTCTGTAGTCAAAAAACTAACTTCTTTTTGAAGAAAATTTATTTGATTTTGTTTTGAAGAAACTAAATCAGTAATTTGATCTAATTCTTTTGTGTAAGGTGAAGTGATAAATTCAAAAACAATTTTTGATTATCAAGAGTTGTATGAATACCTATTGTACCAATTTTGGTAATAGGCATTAAAAGATTCAGGAAAGGAGTACCAAGAATTATGTTTTATGCCATATTTTTGATTTAAAACAAAAGAGGTTTTTAAGCATAATCCTTGATTACAAATTAAAACTTCTGGAAGTTTGTAATCAATATACAAACTATTACCACTGGCACTGGTTAGTGACTGGCTAGTTTTCTGGAAATACTTGGTGGGGACCAAGCCTTCTTGTATGCAATTCATATCTGCACCACTATCAACCAAAGCAATTGCATCGCGAATAATATAATCTGGTTGAATCATGAATGTAATACGAATATACCATTTCTGAAATGTTATTCTATTTAATAACATTAAATAATCTGGATCTTGTCCAGACATTTCATTTTTTTGTTTTTTCCTGTAATTGGTTATTGATTTTCTTAATTTGTGACTGAACCATGAGATTTGAAGTTTGTAAATGTTTTATTTCTACTTTTAATACATTAATTTCCATTTTTAGTTCTTGAAACTGTAATGGGTTTTTTCTGTATTAGAAGTCATCAATTGACTACGGTTAAAAACTTCTTTCATGCTATAATGTTTAGGGGGAAGCACTTCTTCTCTTCTGATTATAGCACATTTCAAGAAATTTTAATTTTAGTGGCTGGATCTTTGATACTATTCAGCAATCTCTAAAAGATTTTGTTCTGAATCAGTGAGGACATTAATACTGGGACCAATATTGAGTCCATTCATTTCGACTATAGCTTTCCAATAATTGGCTTCATCAGAAACTTGGTTTACTGAAGATTTACAAGGACAGAGTTCATTTTCTGGATTATCATCGGATTCTGGATCTGAACTATCTGTATAAATGGCTGCTAGTTCATTATCAGAAGGTCCTGATGATGAACTGGAGTCAGATATTAACTGTAATATTTTTTGCTGTACTTCGTCATCTAATGCTAATTCATTAAGTTTAGATTGAATCTTAACATGGCATTTATTAGTATAATGACCATATTGTCCACATTTATAACATTTAATACTGGATTTATTCTTCTGGAAAGACTTTCCTTTGGTCTTAGATTTATATCTAGGTTTAGAAGTCTGTGGTTGTGTCTGGATCTTAGTTTTAGAATACTTTCTATGTTTTTTATAAGATCTTCTCTGGGGTCAAAGTAACTTCAGAAGGCTGCAACACTCAACTTAAGTTTCAGTTTCCACAATATCAATTCCACTACATTCCTCCTAGAAATTCACAGAACTAACTTCTCCAAGAACTAGAAGACGACCCCTCAACTTCCCACAATGAATCATAAAACCTCACATATCGTCAATTCCAATAACTGTATTCGGCCAATAGAATACATAACACATTTTTAGATGTCTTAAAACTTCTCTAGAATTTATGCATCACCCAAACTCAATAACTCAAAAATCTTTAATCCCCACTACTTGGGGTAGATAATGTGCATGTTTTTTTTCATATACCACTTCTAGTCATGGTTATAAGAATCCGAATCCAGATCACAGGATTTTACGATTCTACCATCTCAATTTGGCCGAACAATCCTGATTGCACTAGGATCTAAAATCTTGTAGAATCTTAGAATAACTATGATCTTAATCACAAAATCATGTATAATCATAATATGATCCCGGTCCAGCTACGATTCTGATTCTTTCTAGCAATTTTTTTCTTATTATTTATTTTTTCTATATATGTATGTGTGTGTAGATCAAATTTTGACAAAAAAATTCACCTTCAAGTGTCTTCTCTTATAACAAATTTCATTTTGGGAACTTGAAGAGAATGTGACAGCTTCTCTTTATTTATAGAAAAAGATTTCTTCAAAATTATTTGAATTAAAATATTTTGAGAGAAATTTAAAAAATTTGTTTTCCCCTAAAATCAAAGTCAGTGAATTCAATTTTTTGTTTGAACAAAATGATTAGCCAAGCCACCTTTTGCCCTAGAAAGAGAAACAGTCTCCCACCTAACCAAATGAACTCCTTTACCCTCCTCACACCCTTCCCAGAGAAAATCCCTCATCAATTTCTCAATCTTTCTTGCAATGCTAACCGGAACTTTGAAAAGGGACAGGAAATAAATAGGAACAGATCCTAATATGGATTGTACCAACGTATACCTCCCTCCCTTAGACAACAAAGCTCGCTTCCATCCCTCCAATCTTTTCCTAATTTTGACAAGAACAAGTTCCCAAAAAGACACCAATCTAGGATCTCCTCCCAACGGAAGCCCTAGATATTTGAGGGGAAAGGAATCAATTGAACATCCCAACATGGCCGCCACTCTATGCACATGACTATCGGCCAAATTAATACCCACAACACTGCTTTTACTAAGATTGACCTTGAGGCCCGACACTATTTCAAAAATTCTTAGAATCTTCAGCAGACTCCCCACCTTACTTTCCTCCTTTAATGACAAGAAAATAGTATCATCCGCAAATTGTAAGTGAGTCGCAACTATCCCATCCCTTCCCACCACAAACCCTTCAATGACACCCTTATCCTTAGCTAAGTCAATAATCCTACCCAACACATCAGCAACTAAAATAAACAAAAGTGGTGATAAAGAATCACCCTGTCTTAAGACCCCTGGATGCTTGGAAAAAATCCCCCGCCTTGCCATTCACAATAATTGCCATATTGCATGACGACAAACACCCCCAAATCCATTTCCTCCACCTAACACCAAACCCCTTCCTTTCCAAAACAAAATCCACAAAACCCCAATCAACATGGTCATATGCCTTCTCAAAATCTACCTTAAATACAATACCCTCCTTACGTAGTCCCCCATATACTCTTCCACAACCTCGTTAGCCACTAAAACTACATCCAAAATCTGCCGACCCTGCACGAATGCACCTTGTGCCGAAGAAATAGTTCCCTCCAGGACAACTCTTAGCCTTCTAGAAAGCACTTTAGCTAAAATCTTATAAAGAGATGTGACCAAGCTAATGGGTCTAAAATCCCCAATCTTAATTGACTTCTCCTTCCTGGGAATTAGACAAATGAAGGATGCATTGGTGCACAAATTAACCTGCCCTCTCTCAAACAACTCAGAAAAAAACCCTCATAAGATCCCTTTTTACAATTTCCCAACAATCCTAAAATACTGCCATTGAAAAACCATCTGGGCCAGGAGCCTTGTCTCTCTCGTACTCAAATACAGCCTGTCTCACCTCATCTTCGTCGAAGAGTCTTTCCAACCAACTAGCAGACGCTAAATCCACTGGGACCCAATTAATGCCTTTAATCCCTGGACGATCCACACCCCCATCAGAGTATAGATTTGAATAAGAATTAAAAATTTCCTTGACAATAAGCTCCTCCTTACACACGACTTCGCCTGAAGCCACTTCCAAATTCTTAATAAAACTCTTCTTCCGCTTCCCCAACGCAACTCTACGATAAAATCTAGAGTTGGTATCACCCTCGCTAGCCCATTTCAACTTAGCTCTTTGACCCTAAACAATTTGCTCCCTAAAAATGATCTCCTCCAGCTTCATTCTTAGCATTGACCTCCTATACCTTAACGTTTGAGATAAGCCCTCCCTGGCCTCCTTCACATCTAATTCCCCAATCTCCCGAACTAGTTCTGCTTTCATCTCACCCGTATCCCCAAAAACTTCACGTTTCCAAATTTTAAGATTTTCCTTGACTCCTCTCAACCTTCGCATAAACTTAAAACCCTCCCACCCATGGACACGAGCATTTTCCCACCATTCCTTAAAGAACGCCTTGAAAGCACGATTTTCCAACCACATATTCTCGAACCAGAATGGGATTGGACCCCATTTAAAGTAACAGCTCTCTAGAATCACAGGACAATGATCTGACACCACTCTGGGCCCTACCTCTTGCCTTACATCCGGAAACAACTCCTCTCACCCCAAAGTATGAAGAAACCTATCCAACCTACAGCACACCCGATTTTCCTGCAAATTTGACCATGTGAATCGCGCATTACTCAGAGGAAGATCAATCAACTCACACTCCTTGATAAAAGAATCAAAGTCCCGCATACTTCTATTTGTAGAAACCCCATTTAATTTTTCGGAAACTTGCCTAACCACATTAAAATCCCCACCCACACACCAATAAGGAGAACAAAGCCCAAATAATCCCACCAACTCATCCCACCACTCCCGTCGATCCCCTGATCTATTAGGACCATACACCCCTGTCAACCACCATTCCTTATTATCCCTATTCCTAAACCTAATAGACAAAGAAAATACCCCAACAACTACCTCACACTCCACTACAACTCTCTCATCCCACATAATCAACACTGCCCTGATTTTTCCCTAGAAGGCAGTACAGCCCATCTCCTAAATCGAGTCCCCCAAACACTTCTAATAAAAACCCTATCACACTCCTCACACTTTGTCTCTTGAAATATAACTATATCTGGTTGTTGAATTTTCAAAACCTCTTTAACTACCGCCCTTTTCCTACGAGACCGTAGTCCTCGAACATTCCAACTAAAGATCTTCATCGGGAACCATCATCACTCCTTACCTCTTTTCCCCGTCCCTCATAATTGATGCCACTTGCAAGCTTTCTTAATTCCCTCAACCCTTTCCTTAATCCCGCACCGCTTTGATTTCCATCCCCCCCAGATGGAATCCCCACCCTCTTAGCCCGAGACTTCTTCCCAATATTCCTGACCAGTGCCAACCCAAGAGTCTCAAGTAACAGTGTAAAATGAGGGACATCATCCTCCTCCAAAGGAAAAGACACATACTTACTGATTTCCCTCAACCACCTTTCAGACTCAGAACCATCGTTGCCACTAACAGTGTTCCTTTGAAACCTATGATTAGGAGACTTCTCCCTCGAAACATCAGCCCTATTAGTGTCCATATTATTTAGCTGTGGGTTCAAACTGCCACTGGTAGGGGTCCTATTCTCATGTAACAAAGGCAAATCATCATTCTTGTTAGAAACCTTTCTGGAAGCTTGTAAGAAACAAGGACCCAATACTGACTCCCGCTCCTCCCCCGCCCCCCTAACTGACATAGAATGAGGACTCCGAATATGAGGATGAAGTGAAGAATTCATGTTGTCCCTGTCAATAGAGTCACTAACCTGTTCACAAGAATTGAAGACTGCCTCACCCACAGATCCCCAGTGTGCTTAACACAAGAAGAAACTGGTACTTCCTCTTCATGATATAACCCAGTGAGATTCAAGTCGAAATCATCAGCCCTCTCCTCCTCCGAATAATCCTCAGCTTCCTCATTTGGACCCAAAGATTCATCAGAACTATCTTGAGAGCCATATTCTTCCAATGCTTGGAGCACCCCTTGTGGATCGCAGATGCCCCCTTCCTCTTCATGAATCATTCTGTCAACATCAGGTAAAAATTCGATCGCTAAGTCCTCATCTTCAGCCAAATCATTAACATCAGTGGGTCGCTCAATCCGAAGAAGCTGACCTGTGGAGCAATCGACCACATCGGCCAAACCCAGTTGAATTTCGTTTGGGTTTAACCCAACCAGCGTAGTCAGAACCTGATCAGCCCCAATCTCCACATCCTTCTGTCGCCGACTGTCGTTACCTTCATCCCTATCGTCCACCTGGGTCGCTGTCTGTATACAATCATTCACCCTATCGAGAACACCCATCGTCTCCTTTACCCGACAAAGCCCTAGATCCGAACTAGTAATAGAAATACCCATTTGGACTGATTTCAGCCCATCATGATTCAACATATAACTTGGTTGTTTGTTACCCAGCGAGCTATCATCCACATGCTTCACTTCTTGATCCAAATGACTAGAGCTCATAAGGCCCAAATCAAAATTCTCCTCTTCATGAACCTGGTCTGCAATTGGTGCAAGAGAAAGGCCCAAACCTGACCTGGGCCGAAGCTCATCCAACAGCCCATCTTCACCTAAAATGGCCTTTCGAGATCTGGAGCCCAGAACAATAGGCCCATGTTCATTACACTCATGCCTAACGCTTGACCTCCCCTCTTCGTTGACATTCTCTCTATAGAACATCAGAGCCCCATCGTTAACCCCAACTTCCTAAGAAACCAGACAGCCACGTGTCCCAACTGTCCCCTCAGGTTATTGATATTGACATAAAACAGTGCATCTTTAGTTTAAATTTTATATTATTCATATTGACATGTTTAGAATTTTATATTATTGTGTGGTTTTGATTAATTGCTTGAATTAGATAGTTTGATTCTTGGTCTAAAGAAACTAACAAAACGCATAGAAAAACAATGTGCAATAACTCGTGTCTTTGTCAGATTGATTCAATTCAGTTAAATTTACAGCATTGGGTAATAGTAAAATCAAATTATACTGTCTTTTGAGTATAAATAGGACAGTTTCATGATTTCATCATAAAATAACCACATTTCATTGTAAAAGAACCACCTGTGCCTGTGGCACTCCAAGTTTTAAAAAAAAAAAGAGACACAATCAAGTTTTTTTTACACAACGTGCATGATTTTTGTAGGGAATGTTTTAAATCACAACTTTGAGCACTCAAGTACGATCTCTTCAATCATTCCAATTTTTTTATCTTATTGAGGTGGTGGTAGTAATTTTCACTTTATGGTTAAGCCTTCTAATTGTTGAATTTAAAAAAGCCTTCTAATCATTTCATTAGGCACTACCTAATAAATTGTAATATAAAAATTTATTACACATAAATTGTTTGATCTCATCTAGTTGTTTTGTTTTTTGTGAATCCTTGGCACTCGATTAGAGTGATATATTTTGACTTTGACTTTTAAATTTGTTTTTTCCTTCAAATTTCAAGCGTATAAAAGTGGCAATTGTCCATCATATTGCAGAAGGTAACATCTTTGTATTTAGATTTTTTTATTGGGTTTCTCATTACGCATTCTTTTGTTATGACGAGTATATTGAAGAAAAACAATGATAGTGAGAATTTTGAGTAAATTGTTGTATAATAATTAATTGGGCAAAAAGCTTTTTTCCATAAGCCTACATGTAATGGGATTCCAAATGAGATGTAATTATTTATTTTCATTTGTTTTCATGTATTATCTAAATTGTTAAATTCTTCGTGCTGAATTGAAAAAAGAAAAGAAAGAAGAGTTATACTTAGCAATTCATATTCATTTTTTTTTTCCCATACAATTCATATTCATATTCATTAAGCAGCAACATGTGAACTCACAAGTCATGATATACACTAATCAAGAGACTTGGGAACTAAATTGAAAGGTGCTTGATCATATGTTCAATTCCTGTTAATTCATAGTTATTGGTTTCTCTGTTTTTCAAAGGTAATATGATTTTTCCTATTACGATTTTTTTAAATTGATTTTTTTAAGTGAATTCAAGCATTGGAGTGATTTTGTTGCAGGTGACTAATCCACCTTACAAATGTTGGAATTGTGTTGTTTTCTATGTGTGTTGATAGTTGGCTCTTTCATTCTAAACCGGATGATTAATCTCTTTTTTTTTTTAAAAGCTAGGATGTTTTTTTTAAAGCTGAAATTGATTACTCTTTTGCTTATGCTACACTGAAATATAAAATTCATTGTTTGGACTTTATTTTTGAAGGTTGTTATTTGAGATTTATGAATATTTTTATCAATTCAATGTGTAAAAAAAATTTCAACTTCTTATCTATGAAGTTATAAATTGAAATAATATTATTATTTTGAATTAAATTATTACAATTGAATTCCATAACATATGTGATACCAAAAAAATTGTTGACCGTGCCTTTCTAGTTCATATATATGACATATAATAAATATATACACTTGTATATTTCGTGCATGTCTTCCACGTATTGTGTCCTACATTTTTGAAAAATTGACGTGTCAGCATGTCCATGCGTATCCATGCCGTGTCACGTATCTGTGTTCGTGCTTCTTAGAACACAATGCAAAACTAAATCAAAGTAAGAAATAAAGTTTTCTCAACCAATCGGCAGAGAACAGATCTATAAAAAAAACAGCAAACTTCTACAGTTAAACAAGTAAAACAACAAATAGCAGCTCAATTTATTTTTTTGTCTTCCTCAAGTTTGAAGACATTTCAACACAATAACCTATAAAAGATATGACTATTAATGGTCAGTCTCTGTGTCAATCTACCACTGATATAGGTGAAGGAAAGTTGCTTCCAATTGCATACTTGCTCAATGTTGTACCCAGGGCATGGATCATTAGACAAAGTTAGAACCCTCGCAAACCGGTCCAAGCAATTCCCAATAGCAATATCTATAGTCTCACCAAAAATTCAATACCGCCCCTCGCTATATGCAATCACCTGTGTGTTCCCACCACTTACATATAGCACAACAGGGTCATCTGCTCCAGTGACAACCCTTCCCATCTCAATATGAGCAACACAATGATTTACTGCAACAATGGGTTTCTTCCAAAGCTGTGAAAGAACCCGAACAGCAACAGCGGCAACCTGTAATGGCGCACCCATGCCTGGTCCTTTAGTGTAACAAAGACAGTCAATGTCATTTGGGGTTATCTGCGCAGTCTTGAGAGCAGATTTGATAAGCGGCAGGATGTGTTGGAGATGGTGTTGGGCAGTTTCTCGGGGAAGGAATCCCTGCCCTGGTGGGGTAACATAGGTGTGTCTTGGGTTTGATAAAATTGAGCCATCAAGGGTCACAACCCCAACACCAATCTTATTGGCTGACCCCTCAAACCCTAGAGCTATCATCTTCATCATCTTTAAGAATAATATGCCCGACTCAAATGCAACAATGTCTTCAAATTAGGTTTATGACTTCAACTGAAATTATGTATTCTTGTTATCTGGGAAGAAAAAACACATAGTTAAGAGACTCCGTCACGACTAGATATCTATACTAGTAGCAAGGCATCGTGTGTTGCACGATTGGAGGTGCCAGTAGTGATTATGAAGTTGTAACATGAACGTTGACAATAATAGCATTGTAGTGGAAAAAAATAAAATGGGCTCAATGTCGGAAATAAATTGAATCAAAAGCAAGGCGAAAGGAGGCTTTTGTTGAGATGATTTCTTAGAAAAGGTTGAACTTCAATTTGTCAACATCAATTGTCAATTAAAAGATTGAAATGCTTTTTTCCCTTGTTTTTGAGAGGACTCCATTTTTTGAGTCAAATGAATGGTTTTATTTAAACTCAAACCCATTTCTCCAATTTAAAAATACTATACCTTTTTTTTAATGTTTATTTATTAGATTGACTCCAAAATAGTAAATAAAAATTTTAGACTATCTCAAATAGAAAACAAAGACTATATTGACCCCTAAATCCTATTTTACATAGTTTTTATTCAATTGAATAGGGTGACTTTGTTTTTATTCAACTGAATAGGGTCACTTAAATTATTTAAATCAAAACCTTGTTTTTTATTTATTTTATGTTACTAGATTGACTTCAAAATAGTAAACGAAAATTTTAGTATCTCAAATAGAAAACAAAAAGACTATATTGAACACAAAATCCTATTTTACATATTTTTTTATTGAAAAGGATTGGGTTACTAAAATTATTTAAACATGTCATGGTACCCCTTAATGGAAATAGCAAGTTCTTCATTCTTGCACGAGATATATGTTCCAAGGTAGGCAGAGTTGCCAGTTATTCTGAACCTGCCTCCAAGAGATGATTCTAAATCTAACTTCTTCAATTAGATTAAGAATTGTTTAATTTCTTTTCCTTTTCTAATTAAAGACTCCGTTGTTCATCTAAAGAAAGCTTATCCACTAGTTTTTTTATTATCTAATTTGTGAACAAGCTAATTCTAAAAGGAAAATTATTTGAATCATGTGGCAATGGCATTTTTATAATTAACCAAAAATATCAAAACCGAACGGAAGGTTTCGGTTTTCATTATTCAAAAACTATATCCAACTGTTTGTTGTATAATTGATTGGTTTGGTTTGGTCTGGTTGGTTTTTTCAATAGACAATAAAAGCTGAACTTACCAAAAACAAAACAAATATCAACAGTTGAATCAAAACATGAACAACATCCTAAAATTATTTAAACATGTCAAACATGTCATGGTACCCCTTAATGGAAATAGCAAGTTCTTCATTCTTGCACGAGATATATGTTCCAAGGTAGGCAGAGTTGCCAGTTATTCTGAACCTGCCTCCAAGAGATGATTCTAAATCTAACTTCTTCAATTAGATTAAGAATTGTTTAATTTCTTTTCCTTTTCTAATTAAAGACTCCATTGTTCATCTAAAGAAAGCTTATCCACTAGTTTTTTTATTATCTAAGTTGTGAACAAGCTAATTCTAAAAGGAAAATTATTTGAATCATGTGGCAATGGCATTTTTATAATTAACCAAAAATATCAAAACCAAACGGAAGGTTTCGGTTTTCATTATTCAAAAACTATATCCAACTGTTTGTTGTATAATTGATTGGTTTGGTTTGGTCTGGTTGGTTTTTTCAGTAGACAATAAAAACTAAACTTACCAAAAACAAAACAAATATCAACAGTTGAATCAAAACATGAACAACATCTGGAAACAATGATACACTTATTTTTGCTTAATATATTCGTGAGGATAAGTCTGGGAAAATTTTACGAACAAAATTGAGCTTAGGGTTTCAAAAAATTAAGGCTTTTCTAAAAAATTTGGTTTTTAAAGAAAATAGGGTTTAAAAAATTATGGGTTTCATTCAGGTAAGGCTTTGAGGGAATCAATTAGTGGATTTGGAGTGTGGACTTACTGTAGTCGACAGAGATGGAGAGAGACAATCACTGCCCGAGAGCTTGAGCTTGAGGCTGATATAGATGTGGAATGTGAGCTCACTGTAATCGCCGGCAAGTGTGAGTGCGAGTGCGAGTGAGAGTGAGAGTGAGAGTGACGCCGAGAGCTTGAGGGTTAGGGTTTCTAGGATGAGAGTGGAGAAGAGGGTGTAGGCGGGGTTCAGGTTAGGGTTAGGGTTAGGGTGAAGTTCGACGACAGAGGCAAGAGAGATGCTACGCTGCTGCTGCTGCTGTGTGATGGACTTCGAGAGAGGTGCGAAAGAGGAGGTAACATGCATCGACGACTGGGATTCAAAGAATTACTCCGTCCTCTCAAAATTTTAGTACCTGTTGTATTTTTCATTATTTTAAAATATTTTTTTTAAAAATTAATAATTAAAAGAACATAAATTTTTTATTTTATCATTTTTTAAAATTTATACACAAAAAATATAATTATGGCAATTAATATTTTCAAAAAGAGTAAATTACACTAGGGGTGCAACTCGGGCGGGTTCGGTCGGGTTGGGGGTTTGCACAGGCCCGGCCCGAATTGTATTTGGCATTGCCCAAGCCCGCCCAAGCCCGACCTTGAACCCGAGCATTGCTGCCCAAGCCCGGACCAAGCTTTGTATTTTGAACTCGGGTTAGCCCGAATTGCCCGAGTTCAGAAACCTGTAGGTAGATTTGTTTTGAAACCCCCAATCTGTGGATTTGAAATAACTGGGAGGTGCTATTTGAAAACCCACAAATGCAAATTCAGATTTCCAATTCACTCTAAATCGCATTTAAAGTCCTAGTTTGGCTAAAACAGTCAACTTTGCGACTGAACCAAAATAGCTGGGACAAGGTCTGTGGAGCTAATTCAAATCTAGCACCAGAGTACAGATTATAAACTTCCAAAGAACCATGTCAACTACAGATACATTCAGTCAAACGAAGCACACTACAAATTTCTTTACTCAAAAACAGCTACATCAATCAATGTGACATTTGCAGAATTAAGACAATATAATATACATACTACTAGAATCTGATACACCAACTACCTCCATTGCTCGTGTTTATGAAAATATTTAGCTTTTAAAAGAAAACCCTAAGATACAGATATTCATACACTAACAAAACGGAGAGCATAAAGAGCAATTTCAAGTGGATACTCTGAGAAATCGAATACGAAATACCTGTGAACTTCTTCATCTTCTGTATTGAGAAGGAGAAGAAAGAGAGGTTGCAACGCAAGATAGGGTTTCGCCTCCGCAGTTCTTCAAAGTTCTTCAAAGTTGAAGAAAAAATCAAATGAGTCTGTTGTGAGATAGAGATAAGGTAGATAGATAGGGTTTCTTTAGATTTAATCGAAGGGTAGAGATAAAAGATGCTAATCTAACGGTGGAAGACTAACCAAATAAATAAATAAAAATAAAAATTAAGACTAATGCTTGTACTTAATTTATATATATTATATAATATATTAAATTCAATTCGGGTTCGGGTTGCTCAAGTTGGCCATTGGTTCTGCCCAAGCCCAGCCCGAATTACAATTCGGGCATCAAAAATCTTCCCAGGCCCGTCCAGATTACAAGATATAGTTGCCCAAGCCCTAAAAAAACTCGAGCTGGGCTCGGGTTGCTCGGGTTGAGCCTGCCCGAGTTGCACCTCTAAATTACACTGACACCCCATGAGGTTTGGACTAATTATATTTCACCTTTGACGTTCTGAAGATTACATTCTCACCCCTGTAGTTAATAGTCTCATTTCACAAATCTCCTACTTATATGAAAGGTAATAACTCTTAGTAAAAAAATAAAAAAAATTTACATTGAAAAAAAAAGTAAATCAAAGGAAAGAAAAAAAAGAAAGTAAAGCAAAACAAGAAAAGAGAGCGTACATGAATTCAATATTTTCATTCTGTTTAAATAATTACAATGATAAAAGGGTTAGTGTGATTTTCCAAAAGTTAGGAATGATATGTATTAAATCCAAACCTCCAGAGGCATAACTTTAATTTATCCTTTAAACAAAATCAAAGATAATTTAAATAAATTAATATTTTTGAAGTATAATAATTGTAATACAAAAAAAAAAAAAGGATGCACCAATAAATCCTAAATTAATAACTTATGCACTGTTTAGTCCTAAAAGTTTTCTTATAGACTGAAAGGTCCCATTACAATGTTAATAACATCAGATACAATGTTAATAACATCAGAGTCATGTTACAAACATTGGATTTCAAACATCTAATGTTCATCAAATTTCAATAATGTTTGAAAATATAGGATGAAAAACATCTAATGTTCATCAGATTTCAATAAATTTTGAAATTATAAAATGAAACATCAGATCATTTACATCATTCACATCATGTTGATGTAAAAATAGGACTAAATGGAGTATAAGAAAACTTTTAGGACTAAATGGTTCAACGTTTCAAAAACTAGGACTTATGGATAAATTAAAAATTAAATTCCTTACAAATGACAGGCTGTATTTGGTGGAGTTTTGAAAACTTAATTCTACACTTTGGTTTGAGTGATGTGTTTGGTTAGAATTTTTAAATATTGATTCCACACCCACTTTTGAAAATATGTCTGCCTAATCATTCTCCCGGATGTCCCCCGAACGTCCGGTCGGTTGACCGGAACATTTTTTTTTTTTAGCACCGGTTATTTTTATATTTCAAATAACAAATATTTTTAAACTTTTTTTTAAAAAAAATTATGAGCTTTGAATAGAATTTTGGATTATGTGTTTAATTATGAGTTGTAAGTTTTTGAATTAAATATCATATGTCACGTCAAAAATTCTAAATTCAATTCAAAACTGTTATCAAAACTCATAATCAACCAAATTTTCCACACACAAATCATAATTTCAAAACTCGCAAACTCAAAATACAACTATATTCTCAAATCATTATTCTAAAACATTATCAAATGCTACCTAAAATTTTGGTATGGATAGAGTATTAAACTTGTTGGTTCCCTCCTCACACCATTTAAAAAGGGTATACCATATATAGTCATGATTAATTTTTTTATTTAATTATAACATTATTTTAGTTATCACTATGAGTTTTTTAGTTACGACACATATACACCGTAGTGTTTTCCACAGTCTCTTTCGGTTTGAATTTTTCAAAACTAAGGCTCCGATTGTTTTGAAAATTTGTTTTAATCAAAAATATTTTACTCATTTTTTGTTATTGGGTTGAAAAAAATTAAGTAAAATATTTTTTTAAAAAAAATATTTTTACATCATTTTTTCAAAAATGGCGTACCTTTAAAAATTTCGTAAATCAATTTCTGCAGAGTTGACTATTACTTACTACTTTTTCAATGCATTTAGCATTTTCAAATAAATATATTAACTCACTAAAACGTCATGAATGACACTTTATTGAATCAAAGTTTCTCTTTTTGGCAATAAATTCTTTTAGTTTCAAGTGTTAACCAAATAAAATCTTTAGAACATTGCCTAAATGAATATGAAAAGCTACTAAGAACAAATAAAATCATGTAAATACAATGGGAAAAAAACACTGGAAAGGCTTATTTCAACTTTTCCATCAAAAACCATGTAAATTATCCAATTTCATGGAACAATTGGTGCCGGGATCAGCTCAATTGAATATACATTTACCTTTTTTATTTTTTTCACCAAATTTTCCTTGATCATTTAAAAAAGAAAAAAAAATTCCAAAAATCACACCTAACAGAGTCAATTATCCTATTTACACATAAATTAATCACAATTGGACACAGCCCCATCACACATGCGTGTGAAATTCATAAAAACATAAGACCCAAAAACCTGGACAGCAACTCTTGGTTTCTAAACCCAACCAACCTGAAACAAACCTGCCCAACACATCCTATAATTCCAAATGAGAAAATAAGGAACAACAACAACAACAATTATACAATAATCAAATGGAAAAAGACCGGGGTCGCTATAACCTCCCCCCCTTCAAAGAATTTCGTCCCCGAAATTAGGCACAAATTTGAAAACAGGTTTTTTTTTTTTTAATACCCAAAGATAGTATATAACAATAATAAACAACTTGACCCTATACTGGTCACTTTATCTCTTCATCAAGAGGCATCCCACAATATATATAAAACAACATATATTTCAACCTGCACCACTATTATGCATTATTCCTTTCAATGTTAACAATTTCCATATCATATTCAACTCCATGACATATATACCACATCCAACAATGTAATCAACATCTACAATGAAAGTAAAGCAAAACAAGAAAAGAGAGCGTACATGAATTCAATGTTTTCATTCTGTTTAAATAATTACAATGATAAAAGGGTTAGTGTGATTTTCCAAAAGTTAGGAATGATATGTATTAAATCCAAACCTCCAGAGGCATAACTTTAATTTATCCTTTAAACAAAATCAAAGATAATTTAAATAAATTAATATTTTTGAAGTATAATAATTGTAATACAAAAAAAAAAAAAATTAAATTCCTTACAAATGACAGGCTTTATTTGGTGGAGTTTTGAAAACTTAATTCTACACTTTGGTTTGAGTGATGTGTTTGGTTAGAATTTTTAAATATTGATTCCACATCCACTTTTGAAAATATGTCTGCCTAATCATTCTCCCGGATGTCCCCCGAACGTCCGGTCGGTTGACCGGAACATTTTTTTTTTTAGCACCGGTTATTTTTATATTTCAAATAACAAATATTTTTAAACTTTTGAATAGAATTTTGGATTATGTGTTTAATTATGAGTTGTAAGTTTTTGAATTAAATATCATATGTCACATCAAAAATTCTAAATTCAATTCAAAACTGTTATCAAAACTCATAATCAACCAAATTTTCCACACACAAATCATAATTTCAAAACTCGCAAACTCAAAATACAACTATATTCTCAAATCATAATTCTAAAACATTATCAAATGCTACCTAGAATTTTGGTATGGATAGAGTATTAAACTTGTTGGGTTCCCTCCTCACACCATTTAAAAAGGGTATACCATATATAGTCATGATCAATTTTTTTATTTAATTATAACATTATTTTAGTTATCAGTATGAGTTTTTTAGTTACGACACATATACACCGTAGTGTTTTCCACAGTCTCTTTCGGTTTGAATTTTTCAAAACTAAGGCTCCGGTTGTTTTGAAAATTTGTTTTAATCAAAAATATTTTACTCATTTTTTGTTATTGGGTTGAACAAAAATTAAGTAAAATATTTTTTTAAAAAAAATATTTTTACATCATTTTTCCAAAAATGGCGTATCTTTAAAAATTTCGTAAATCAATTTGTGCAAAGTTGACTGTTACTTACTACTTTTTCAATGCATTTAGTATTTTCAAATAAATATATTACTCACTAAAACGTCATGAATGACACTTTATTGAATCAAAGTTTCTCTTTTTGGCAATAAATTCTTTTAGTTTCAAGTGTTAACCAAAAATTACATCGAAACAAACGGAACCTTAAAAAAACCCACAAAGAATTTTATTTTTTCAATTTTTTAAGAAAAAAAGTTAATTTTACAAAAATAAAAATTTAAAAATATTTTTAAAATTGTTTTCTCTCTCAAAAAAATAAAATCAAATATGGCATTTTTTTTATTTTTTTCACCAAATTTTCCTTGATCATTTTAAAAAAAAAATAAATTCCAAAAATCACACCGAACAGAGTCAATTATCCTATTTACACATAAATTAATCACAATTGGACACAGCCCCATCACACATGCGTGTGAAATTCATAAAAACATAAGACCCACTTCAAGTAACAAAACTTATATTCAATTGGTGTTAATTTTTGTATTCTTAAAATTTTTTTAAAAAAATTGATCCAATCAGCAGGTCCAATTTTTGAGTTCTTTCCTAATATATAGAAGTCTTCAAACCCTGTTTCTACACAGCAAAGTGAAACTAGTGAATTTGAGAGCAAAAATAAATAAACAAATATGAAACAAAGATGAATACAAACATATATATATATGAAACAAAAACAACTTTAAAGAGCAGAATCTAGCAACCTGTGTGGTTTTCTTAGAGACCCAAAGAAACAAAGACAAGAAAAAACTTTGTGTATTCAACAATCTTTAGAACATTGCCTAAATGAATATGAAAAGCTACTAAGAACAAATAAAATCATGTAAATACAATGGGAAAAAAACACTGGAAAGGCTTATTTCAACTTTTCCATCAAAAACCATGTAAATTATCCAATTTCATGGAACAATTGGTGCCGGGATCAGCTCAATTGAATATACATTTACCACCTATTTACCTAAAAAGAGCATAATTATACAGAGATTCCACTCTAACAAAAGCCAGAACA